TTGATCATTGCACAGACTACAGTCATCATTAAACACACACGCTCTCCTAATTTGTATGCTGATACCACAGTCCTTACTCCTTGTTGAGAAATAACAAGGAGATCAGTGTGACTGGAACCTAAACTATCGTGCTCATGATACTATGCAGTAGCTCTAGATTCAATGTTATAATGTGTGATGTTACCACAAGAGTATCCTAAATTATCACAAAGTGGTATTTTAAAAATGCAGTTTTGCGGTCCAATTACCTCACAGGTCACATGGCCTCAAAGCACTGACCTTAGAACTTAACAGCCATCTATAATATTTCCATGAAAAATATGTTCCAGGCTCCAAACAACATTCTTTTAGGCAAACTTTTAGAACGCAATCTGCTTAGGAACTGTCTCTACTGGTCTGTGATACGTTTGTTTTGCACATGAAGTTTATTTCGGACTCTTTTCTACAGAGATATTTCCTGCCCTTGGAAGATGACTTCAAATAATAAATTGTCACCAAAAATGGACATGAAACTTTCAAAAAGCAGTAGGGAGGTGGAAAAGATGAACAAGCTGAAAACAAGTCCATTTTGGGAGGGTTCTGAACATCCTGGTTAAGGGAGTTTTTCATTTTAAAGGAAAAAGTATTCATCTGATATGTTTCTTTGTTCATAGCACTTAATATAGAATTCTACAATGTTAAAAATAGGAAGTCAGGTTTATATGGTGTTTGCTTTAATGATACTAAACTGCCTGGAAATAGCAGCACATGCTATAACAAGTTTCAGATATTAAAAGAAAAGCTACAATGCTGAACTCTTTTCTAAACTTTTATATGAAGTCCCAGGCTTTGTGGACATTCAGGAGCAAATCAGGGCTAATATGGGAAGCTTACAGATGGTATAATGGCTTCAGGCATCCCAATTATATTAAAAAGTTGAAAGTGGCAGATTCATATCCTCCCCTTTTACATGTCATAAATTCCAAAGTGTTGGTGTCAAACTGTGTCAATTGCACTCATTTATTAATACTTGGAATACCGTCAGTGAGCTTCCTAGCTGTTATTATCCATTTATTCATTTACAGCCATCTAATACTAACAGCAGCAGCCACGGTTTTCAGTCCTTTCCCTGAAACCATACATGCATTGCCTCAGGGAGACTTCCATAAGCCTGCATCTGGGGAGGGGGAGGAGGAAACAGCAAACTGCAGGATCTGCTGATCTTGGATATAGGTCTCTCTGCAGGAGCTTCCAAATGTGTCTTTGTTTATGTTCTGTGCTTCGGGTTGTTGTGGGGCACGGATCTAAGGAGGAAGGAATTTGTTGCCTCAATAAAAAAAACTGTGTAATTAAGATGTGGAAGAAAGGTTAGGTGAAAGACAGAAAAAAGACTATCTCCAGGTATTCTAAAACAAATATTTACATGTTCAAATATCATCTTTTTTGTAACCATGTGATCCTCAGTCTTGGAGGCAGTGGTTAATAAACGCCGATGTCTCCACACAAAGTAAAAAAATAAATAAAATAAAACATGTATGGCAACGATGCACATGATTCAGACCCAAAAACTACCCCGCATAAAACATTCATTATAATTAATGCAGTGTTTCTTGGCTGGTATTATTAAGACCTTAATTTTCCACTTGGTGGAACTTACTGTATGTAGTAGAAAAATCACTGGCTCTGAGTCAGAAATGCCTTGATTCTAATCCAGCCCCTGCCACTTCTTAGCCATGCCATGTGTGCAAATTAGTTGACCTCTCGGAGCCTTGGGTTTGTTTTCTTTAAAATGTGAATTATAAGGAAATATTAAATGTGATGATTAAACAAAAGAAAGAAAGTAAAACAACTACACAGTTCCTCTAAATTACAGCTTTCCTCCCTCACCCCTTTCCTCTTTAGGAACTGCAGAGACATTTTTAATAAGAAAGGATATAAGTGATCAAAATAATGATTCTGAAAACATATGATTCATTGCAGACATTGGCAGTGTGTGCCCTCCATAGTATTGGGCATGAAAGAGTTAAGTGGGAACGCCACCTTTGAGTCCTGGGGGAAGGGTGGAAGGGAGGACGGTAATAGTGGATTTAATAGTGTTTCACAGGCAGAGTCCTGGTGCTGTGCAAAGCTCCAGATCATGTTTCTTCTTAGACGCCAATCAGTCAGGAAGTGATTCTCAAAGAAGTTTACATTGCCCTACTCTCCTTACACTGCTGCACTGTAGGAAACCCAGGACACAGAATACTCACAAGAAAGATGCTAGCATTTCCTGGGATAATAGCGAAAGCAAATAAGCTTCATGTCACATAACATATTATAAGGAAGCAAAGTCTCCTGCACAACATTATACTAAAAAGACCAAACTTATATTAAGCCTTGAACACTTGCATACGTAAAGACCAATAAAATAATCCAAATAGTAATCAAAAGCTCTAATTCTTCTTCAATTCCAGTTCATGTGCTACATTTTGAGAAGAATGACACAAAAGTGTACATGCTCTCACACACACACACACGCACACACACACACAAATATACACACATCCCATGCAACACACATTCACACCTTTTGGTCAATAGAAGAAAAGAAACCTAGATCATATCAGAACACAGACAGTCTTACTGGTCAGGCTGTGTCTTCACCACATGCTTAATGGAGAAAAATGGGTAAGGTATATCAGAACTTCATCAAAGAACATTCCAAAGCTGTTACATACATTTATGCTTGTCAAGTGTATAACCTGCACGTAATCCTCTTTTATTCTTTCACCCAGTATTTATTTTCTGTTAGCTAGAAGAGGGCATGGGCTTTATCTATATTGCTTACTTTTAAACTTGTGACCACCTGGCATGTAGTAGGTGCTCAATAAATATTTGCTGAATAAATTAATGAACACTTTCAATTCTAAGGGGGATTCTGCCATTTTAAATAAGCAATTACAATAGAATAAACTAATTTTATTTTTGATATCCCAAGGAACTCAAGCCCCTTTGTTAGTAGCTTTCTTTTTAGAACACTGTCTGAACTAGGCCTATGCTCCAGCTGACTGGGGCAAGGCACATTTTGTAGATTCACGGGGTAGCCTGTGGAGAGGTATCTACATGCAAGATAAAGACATTGCTTATATTTGTACAGATATTACACTATGGTGCAAATAACCAACTCTATCTTTTGTTTTTCTTGAGAGAGTCTCACTTCTGTCATCCAGGCTGGAATGCAGTGATGTAATCTCAGCTGCAACCTATGCCTCCCAGGTTCATGAGATTTTCCTCATGCCTCAGCCTCCTGAGTAGCTGAGACCACAGGCACGAATCACCACGCCCAGCTAACTTTTGTATTTTCAGTAGAGACAGGTTTTCTCCATGTTGGCCAGGCTGGTCTCAAATTCCTGACCTCAAGTGATCCACCCGGCTGGTCTCGAATTCCTGACCTCAAGTGATCCACCCGCCTCATCCTCCCAAAGTGCTGGGATAACAGATGTGAGCCACTACTCCCAGCCTACCAACTCTATCTTCTATACATTGATTCTAAATCAATGATTTATGAATTTATCCAAATTGATTTTTCTCTATTTATGTTTTCAGCTTCTTCTCCTTCCAGGCAATGAGCTCCATGCCAGCATTCCCCATTCCTTCAAAATAATACCTGGTATTTGTTCTTAGAATTCACCACAAGCAATTCAGCAAAATGTCACTGGCGCCTCCTACAAGATACCATAACAGCAAAATTTTATTGTTACTACATAAAGATTTTTTACTTTTTCTAAAGTTTAAATTTTTTCCACTTCTTTCTCCCTATGTGGTGACCTTACCAAGAACCATCATGGTCCAGTTACAGGATTTCCTCTTATAGAAACCACATTTTCTTGCCTTCATTAGGTCATGCAAGTTTAACCACCAAGTGACTGTCTTCATCATAACTTCCAGTGGGCAGTTCAGGGACTGGAGGGGGACCCACCAGTCTGCAGACCCAGCACATTTTCTATAATTTTCTTCTAGAAAGGGATTTCATTAACAATCTCCCAACTTTCTTCATATTTGTAACAGAAGTGTCACAATCTAGTCCCTAACAACCAAACCATTTTTATTATTAAAATAAATGGCATCATATATTTGTCAAAACTCATTATGTACAACCTAAGAGCGAAGCCTAATGCAAACTTGGACTCTGGGTGACAATGATGTGTGAATGTAGTTCACCCATTGTAAACGAATGTACCAGTCTGAGGGGAATGTTGACCACGGGGCAGGCTGTGCATGTATGAGAGCAGGGGAGATATGGAAACTTTCTACTTTCCACTTAACTTTCCTGTGGACCCAAAACTGCTCTAAAACAAAAATAAAGTCAATTACAGTAAAATACCTGCATAGGACATAACTTCACAACACTGTTGAAAGCATTTTACTTATTTAGTGAATATAAGTATTGCAATTCTTATGACAATATTGTAAGGGAGATATTACTACTATTGTCCCCTTTTGGCTGATGAGACTTCAGTTACCTGACCCTGAATGTCATGACTGAGAAGTACCAGAACTGCTGCCTGGCTGTAGCCGACGCACCCGCCCTTACTCCGCTTGGGTGCTTCTCAGTCATGCCAAACTAAGTCTCCAGCCACACATTCCTCCCCTTCGCCCCAAGCATGGTTCTTTAAACTATTGGCTATGGTTGGTCTCATAGGCGTATTGTGTACGTAACGGTACATATACATGCGTAAAAATATTTCTGCATATGACACTCTGAAGGATATGCTTTATATTTAAAAAAAAAAAAAAAAAAGTGGAAGTGAAATAATTCCCAACAGTTTTCTCAGTAAAGACGAATATAAGGATTCACTTGAGTTCATCAAAGTGCCCCACAGATTCTTTGGTTATCTGTCTAATTCCGAAGTAATTCTGGAGTTTGTATAATTCACTTGGCAGTCTACTACAACCTTGATTATCCCACGGTTATTTAAGGAAGTTTTTATTTTTTAACATATTTTCTGTTTTACAAATTATCTGATGATGTGTATCATTTCTAAAAACAGAACAAAATCAAAATTTTTTAAAAGTTTAGTCAAGAAAAGGACATCTAAATTGTTTAGATAACTGTAGTGACATAGACCAGAGAAGGTTTCAAAGGAAATCACTGTTTGTTCGTAAAGTGCAAATCCCTTTCCGGGGAATTAGTATCATGAAAATTATTACCCAAAAATCGTAAGTATATGCATGGTTTTGTTCTGAATATATTGCCAATTAAAAAAACAAATTATTTTTTCAGATGGAGTTGCTTGGATACAAGGAGAATCTTACAGAATACAAATGAACTTGAAGGCATCAGTAATATTTTCAAAATAATAGAGAAATGACACAAAGAGTGAAAGAGGTAATTGAAACCTGTCTTTGATGGGAATAACACTTAAAAGGAACATTGTACCTATCTGCTGGCAGCTTTAAAAAATATTAATGATTACTGGAATTGAGAAATGTCAATAGTATGAAACGAGCAAAACTGCTTCCCTAATGAGATTTTACAAGGTGAGCAATTGTTTTGAACATTTTCTAACCTTGACTTTTCTGTTTATCTTAAGAATTTAAAAAACAAAACAAAACAAAAAACTAGTGTTTAAATATGAAAAGGAGACTTGTGGCAAATTCAGAATATAATAAGTGATCATTAAAATAGAAATGCCTTCTCTAACCAGAAAAATGAATAAGGAAATTATAACTTACATTCTTTGTGGATGTCTTTACAGAGATAAAGTAGTGAAATATTTACTTGAAATAACATTCATCATCAATGCTGAAGTTTACAGAAGACAAAAATATATAACTCATTTCTTCATAGACAGCCCCAGGACACATGCAGTGGATGCATTGTGTTCTCCTGGGTTGCATAACTACTTTGAAAGAAGTTTTCTTTTCTGTGTCATAAAAGAAGACTTTTTGGCTCTGCCAGGATACTCTACCATTTGGCCCCACAGACTTCAAGCATGCCTGAAGATACATGCCAATTGGTTGTTGGTTTTTGAAAATCCTGATCTCTGCTGAGTTACCCAACTGGACTCAGAAGGGTCTGACCCACGTGCCACATTCCAGCTGTTTGCTTGTTTGTTTTTAATCTCAACCTGGTTTAAAGGGAAGAAGGTGAGTCACCTTGTGTGTATGTCAGCTGATATTTGTGTCATGGAAACTTAAAGGGGATAGACTTGAAATTGAAAAGATAAGATTGTGATTGAATGGGCCTTGTATAAACTATGTTTTGTTATTGTTCTCTTGCTTACTTACCTTGTAAACAGATTCCTTGAGTCTTAAACCAAGGATCTTAATCTTTGGTACTTACAGAGCCTTTCTTCCATGAAGCAGAGTTATTTAGGATGCTGCCAGCAAATGAGCTCTCAATTAGATCTGTCGTCATCATCATAGAACTTACTATGGTCTGATAGTATTCAAAGTGCTTACTTCAATTAATTTCTGGAAACAATTTCACACATTTGACTCTATGAATTTTTCCATCTCATGGTAAGGAAACAGACACAAAAAGGCCAAATGACTTTTTCAAGGACCTTCAGCTAGGAAAGGGCAAAGACAGGCACAGATGAAGACATAATCACAGGCACAAACGACGTGTCTGATAATAGAGATCCTAGGGATCTGTGAATGTCAATAGGAATTACAAATATGAAAATTATTTGTTGAATCAACAAAGTGGAAATAAAACTATTTTTTCTTAGCTGATTTGGTAATGACTAACAGTCAACATACCTATTAAGTGGTTTTGGTTGAAATAATTTAATTTGTTGTTAATAATAGTTCCCCTCTTTAAATGTAATGATACAGTTCCAATATCTCGATGAACAAATAAAATAGGAGAAAGAATTCTATATTTTAGTCATTTCTGCTTATGGCCTCAATTTCAGATTCCAGAAATCCATAACTAAGTAGTTATAAAGCAATTACAGTCGTTAGACTAGCCCAGGATGGCTGGACAAAGTTGAATATTTCATGACTAAAAACAACAACAGCCAGGCACAATGGCTCATACCTATAATCCTAGCACTTTGGGCGGCTGAAATGGGTGGCTGGCTTAAGTCTGGAGTTCGAGACCAGCCTGGCAATAAACAGAGACCTTGTCTCTACAAAAGATACAAAAATTAGTTGGTGTGGTGGTGTGTGCTTGTCGTCCCAGCTACTTTGGAGGCTGAGATGGGAGGATCACCTGAGCCCAGGAGGTTGAGATTGCAGTGAGCTAAAATCGTGCCACTGCATTCTGTCGCTGCACTCCAGCAGCCTGGGTGACAGAGTGAAACCCTATCTCAAAACAAAACAAAACAAAACAAATCAATTCTCACTTAAAATAAACATACCTAAGACATCATTGTATATTTTAAATTCTTTCTAATTAGAGCAATGTTACTGAATATATTTTAAAGAGGCTTATTATAAACAAGATACTTATAAGGTCATTGTACTGAATTCAAATTTTTTGTTATATGGAAGTTGTAGAACTTTGGGATTATGAAATGTTAACACAAGTAAAAATATAAAGTCCGATCTTTGATAAGAAGATACTTTGTCTTAGTCAGTTTGGACTGCTACAACAAAATACCAAAGACAGGGTGGCTTCAACAACAGACATTTATTTTCTCACAATTCTGGAGGCTGGGAAGTCTAAGATCAAGGTACTGGCCGATATGGTTCTTGGTGAGGGCATTCTTCCTACCTGGTAGATAACTACCTTCTTGCTGTGTGCTCATATGGTCTTTCCTCAGTACCAGAGCATGGAGAGAGAGAAAGCTCCTGTGTTTCTTCCTTTCCTTTGAAGGATATTAATCCCATCACGTAGTCCCCAACCTCATGATCTTATATAAGCCTAAATACCTCCCAAAGGCCCCACCTCCAAATACCATCAAGATGGGGATTAGGACTTCAACATATGAATTTGGGAGGAGCACAGTCAGTCCATAGACACTTCTAGGAAATCTTTTCCAAGTAGTCCAGATTCATCTAGTATGCTAACCACACTAGGCTACAGAAGTGACCTGAGGGCAAGAAGAAAGATCCTTCTTTCAGACCCTAAAGTCATCATTAACTGGCCCAGGAAGGATCCCCCAGCATGGAGGATACCCAAAGACTGAACAATAATATGAGGTTTGAGGCTCACAAATAAGCCTCATTAAGAGAGAACTGAGAAAAATCAGAGTCAGAGAAAGAAGGAAAAAAGGTATGGCGGTGGGTAATGGGATTTGAGGTAGGAAAGGAAACAGGAATGAGCATAGCACTAGGCGGGAAGGGGAAGCAAAGGGGGAAGGTCAAAGGAAGAGAGAAGGAAGAAGATGACAAGAGTGAGCATAGTTTCGCTTTCTTGGCATTAAAATCCTAAACTGGACACTCTAAAAATAAAAACTACAGGGGGTGGGGATTTTACTTGTAAATATAAAAATCACTAAGCTTCCTGCCATGTTAGTGCCGGCTATAGATTCCAACAACCTAAAGTGATTTTAAATGCCCCTCTCTAGAGAGTAAGTAAAAACATCCATCTCCCCCATAGAACAAAATTCCCTTTCTTGATGGAACTGAATGGGGTCAGAGGCATTTTTTTCTTGGAATCTTCACCAGCCCAAACTATAGACATAAGCCAACTTTCACAGAGGCTAGATTGTTAAGTTGTGGCTCGTCACCTATAACCCATTTTTATAAAATGTGAGTGAAGGCTACTATATTGTTAGTGGCCACCTGTGGACATAAAGAATTTATAAGAGAAAAGTCAATAATGTCTTATCATGTAAGCACATTTCAGTATTAAGTAAACACTAAAGCCAATATGGTGACTAGTTGTATGTATGATACACATATACATATGCATGTATGTATACCATTTAAGAGGAAACATCAAAAGAGTTTAAAATATACTGATTTTGTGACAGCTCAAGAGCTAATTGTTGCTTTCCACTATTAAAACAGGGTAAATGCCACTAGGAGAGGAATTGCTCAGCTTTAGGAAGGGGTAATTAGGTTTAATGGAATCAGTTGAGAAGAGGAACATTAAGCCTATCGGGAAAAATTTCCTCCCAATGAAAACTATTAGATAATGGAATGACTTCCCAAGAGAAATGCTTGAAATCCTATCACTGAGGATATGTAGGACTCAGCTGGACATTACAAGACATTCCATATCTCAGACTTTATGCCTTTTTATGTCCAAAATATTTTAGTATTTTATTTGATGAAATATATTCTAATCCTTTCTTCAGGACTACATATATAAAGAGACTGTATATGTGTATAAATATGCATATATAGTATAAATACATACATATATGTACTACATTTAGACTATGTATGTATAGTCCAAATATACACATCAATATGCGTATACATATATACTAAATGTACATATACATATGTATTATACATATATAGTCTAAATATAGTACACATGTGTATATGTGTATGTAGAGAGAGAGAGAGAGGTAGATAGGCAGGTAGGTAGATTAATTGATAGATAGATAAATACATACAAGGGAGAGAAACAGAAAAAGAACCTTAAGATTTGAGGTTCTTTTCTGTTTGTTTTTAAACTTGCAGGTTACAAATGAAAATGAAAACACTAAAAACTGTGACTGATGAACAATAAAGAAATATACTCAGATAACAAGCCCCTCCATTTTTCTCCTTGTACTAATTTCACCCTCAAGAGTCAGAAGCAACCAGGTTTGCATTTATTTTCAGTTAGTACTGGTTGCCTCTGAGAATAAGCCCAACTATTAATCTGAAATTCCAATAAAAGCACCGAAAGAAAAAAAAAAAAAAGCCTTAGATGACAAAAATTAAAAATGTTCAGACTCTTAGTGAGAATTTAAGGTTCAATGACTTATCTAACTTTTTCTTGTAAAAAGAACAATCACTTTCAGAAAACCTATGCCCCCATGGAATGACGCATCCACTTCCTCCTAAACATAGATCACATTATCAGTGTTGCCAAATATATCAACAACTGCCTGACTGTTGAACACCATGTTTATCTAATGGACCATAACAGACAGCGAGAACAAGCACAGTTGGAGACAGCAATCTCTAAAAGTATTTCCAAACCAGCACCATTCTTTATTTTTTTTCTTTCCTTTTTCAATTAAGGGAAAGGGAGTTATTAAGCAAGACATACAAAAGCACTGCTAGGATAGCTCCACTGAAACCATTTCTTTCTGCTGAAATGTAAAATAATTCTGGAGGGTCACATTTTTACGTATTCACATGAGAACTAGGACAGAGAAGAAAGAGGGCCGTGGAGTCAAGTTTATACTGGACACCCAATCAAATCTGTCATGAATTGCATAGAGAAAATTCCAGAGGATTCCAGAGATAAATTCTCAACTTCTCCCCTCTGCAGAGTGAAACAGTTCAAAGCTGAGGATCAGGATGGGACTGACAGGGATTTTATTTAAATGCTTGTGAGAAAAATAATGGAATTATTCAAATGTTTCACATGGTTTAATTTCAGGAATAAGCCAAATTTGTTATAAAACGTTGAGAAAATACAGGTAAGTCAAAAGGAGAAAATAAACCACATAGAATCCAATAATGCAGAGATAAGTGCTTTAAAATTTTGGTATATATTCTCCCAATCTGATATGTTCTGAGACAGGTATTTTAAAAACAAAATAGAATCTTTTTGTATATATAATTTTGTGTAGTGATATTTTTCAATACATACCATATTCTGCACGTATTTTTCATAACAATATTTTTCCATAACACCATTTAAATTGCTATTTGATGCTCTGTTACATCAAGGCCCTCTATTTATTTTTCCAGCCCCATACTGTTGTTACCAAACCTTTGCTATTATTAATAGTTCTGTGATGTGTACTCTTACATTGTACTTTTATATGTGATCATAAATATTTCCTTAGAATAACTTACTTGAAGTGTGTCATAAAATAAATAAAACTCCAAGACTGTAACAGAGTGAAAATGCCCTTTATAATGTTTGTAATAATTTTCCTTTCCACCCACAACAGTGTTTATTGTGGTTTTGACAGAGTACTGTTTGTGTATTTGTTTGTTTTTGTTTACTTGAACCTATCAATCTTGTTTTATGATCATTTTCATAAGTTAATATTAAGAAAATTGTCACTAAGATTAAA